AGTCTGGGTGACAGAGTGAGACTCCAACTCAAAAAAAAAAAAAAAAGAAAGAAAGAAAGGAGTTGGCAGTAGCAGGATGCTGCCAGGGGAGGGAGGGGGGACATGTAGCATCAACAGGGGTATGTGATCTCAAACTAGGCAACGTGGGGACCAAAGGGAGACCCAAATTTTACTTGTACAATCATCAGTTGCATACCTAATTCTGAATGGTACCTCACATCTTTAAAATAAAAAAAAATTTAAAAATAAAAATAAGCGCAGACATTTTCTTTAAAAAAACGAACAAAAATTCAGCCAGGACGTTCCCCACTCCCAACTGCCTTCCTCACTGCTCCTCTCTACTGGTCCTGTATGTCTGTTGTTGAACTCATCATCGCATTGCAGCGAATTTGCCTGCCCACTAGACAGTGAGATCCAAGAGAATGGGCTAGAAGGTCTTCTGTATGCGGCATCCCCTGTGCCCAGCCCAGGGTCACACACAGAAAACCAGGTGGATGCATGATAAGTTTCATTCTTCTTTCCCTGTTATGATGCTCAGAAATATAGAGCGTCCAGCTTGGAGGTGAGGATGCTTATTTCAACACTACCTGTAGCTCAGAGGATTCCAAATTTAGTATGTTAATAAATAAACAGCTTCTTTATGGGTAGATAAACAGCCTCCAGGTCAACAAACGTTGGTATAATAAGATGTTCCCCTGCCAAATGGCCCAAACAGCAATAAGGAAAAGAAGCAGGAGCCTCAAACAGGGAGGGAGTATAAAAGTGAGGGCCTCGGGGAGCTGTCACAGTCAGGCAGCGACCTCTCGGCTCCCACAAGGACACACAGGCACCTCCACCATGTCTGCCAGTTGCTATGCTAGAAAATGCCCCTCCGTGCCAGCGATCTCTCTCTGCTCCACTGAGGTGAGCTGTGGAGGGCCTGTGTGCCTGCCCAGCTCCTGCCGGAGCCAGACGTGGCAGCTGGTGACTTGTCAAGATAGCTGCGGGTCATCGAGCTGTGGTCCACAGTGCTGCCAGCCCTGCTGTCCCATGAGCAGCTGTGCCCAACCCATGTGCTGCGAGAGCACCATCTGTGAGCCTTCTTGTTCCATGAGTAGCTGCGCCCAGCCCGTGTGCTGCGAGACCACCATCTGTGAGCCTTCCTGTTCCGTGAATAGCTGCACCCAAACTGTGTGCTGTGAGCCTGTCATGTGTGAGCCTTCTTGTTCCGTGAACAGCTGCTGCCAACCCGTGTGCTGTGAGGCCACTTCCTGCCAACCAGTTCTCTGTGTGCCCAGCTGCTGCCAGCCAGTCGTCTGTGAGCCCAGCTGCTGTTCAACTGTCTGCACTGTGCCTAGTTCCTGCCAACCCATGGTCTGTGAGCCCACTTGCTGTCAGCCGGTGTGCCCGACGCCCAGCTGCTGTCCCTCTGTCTGCCCTGTGGACAGTAGTTGCCAGGCTGTCTGCTGTGACCCCAGTCCTTGTGAGCCACCTTGCTCTGAGCCCAGCGTCTGCCAGCCAGCTGCCTGTGTGGCTCTGGTCTGTGAGCCCATTTGTCTCCGCCCTGTCTGCTGTGTCCAGAGTCCTTGCGAGCCACCCTGCATCCCCAGCACTTGCCAAGAGCCCTCTTGTTGCATCTCCAGTGTCTGCCAACCCCTCTGCTCTGAGCCCAGCTCCTGCTCCCCAGCAGTCTGTGTGTCCAGCCCGTGCCAACCTACCTGCTATGTAGTCAAGCGCTGTCCTTCTGTCTGCCCCGAGCCAGTTTCCTGCCCACCTACCTCCTGCCGACCTCTCTGCTGCCGTCCAGGGTCTTCTGCATCAGCCATCTGCCGCCCAACACCCCCTCGGACCTTCTACATACCTAGTTCCTGTAAACAGCCTTGCAGTGCTGCGGTTTCTTATCGCCCAATTTGCCGTCCCATCTGCCGCCCTGTCTGCTCTGGGCTCATCACCTACCGTCAGCCGTACGTGACATCCATCTCCTACCGTCCTGCCAGCTACCGCCCGTGCTATTCCATCCTGCGCCGCCCGGCCTGCCTCACTTCCTGCTCCTACCGCCCTGTCTGCTCCCACCAGCCTTGTGCTGAGTCCAATGCTTGCAAACGGGATTGCAAAAAGTCCACTTCAGGCCAGCTGGATTGCACCGACTCAAGCCCCTGCAAGGCAGAAGTCTCAGAGGAGGGACCCTGCCAGCCCTCTGAGGCCAAACCCATCAGCCCAGCCACCCGTGAGCTTGCTGCCAGCAAGCCTGCCAACTGCTGAACCGGCCTCAGCTCCCTAATGCCTATAAAGCAATCTACCAGCTAGAGAGGACATTCAACTGTCCTTTCCAAGCTCATGATGACTTAGCTAGGAGTTTTTCTTTCTGCACTGTTACTCGTCCACTGCTTATGCTTCCAAGAACTCTTCAGAAATGTCAGTACCTCAGGTCCAAATGAAGGTCTACTGGGCTTTGGGAGGGGGACATCCCGGGTTCCTGTCTTCTGCTAATGTTAAGCCATGGAGAGCCACTTTGCCACAACCTCTCCAGTCTCTCTTCTGGCATAATTTTTTTTTCTGTCTTCATGTATGTACTCCCTCACTGTGTATGCTTGTGTTCCTTGGGGGAACTTCTTCAATGTGGTAAAAAACATTTAACTGTCCAATAAAAGTGGCTAAGTTGAAGTGACATGTGTTCTCATTGCTCCCCTGTTAATGCCAAAATCTCATCAGTGGCTTGCTTCATCTTTGAGAGCATCTTCCTCCCTTCATCCCTTTCTCTCTCCTTTCTTCCATTCACCATCCACCCATCTGTCCACTCATCCACCTATTCATCCACCAATCTGTCCATCCATCCATCCATCCATCCATCCATCCATCCATCTTTCTTTCCCTCTGTCCCTCCATGTCTCCATCCCTCTGTCCACCCACCCTCCCACCCATCCACCCGCTCATTCACCCATCCACCCATCTGCCTGCCCATCCATCCATCCATCCACCCACCCACCCATCCATCCATCCATCCATCCATCCATCCATCCATCCATCCATCCATCCATCCATCCATGCATCCACCCAACAAATATCATTAGATAGCTGTTTGGTGCCAAGGACTGTGTTAGGCTCTAGGAATCAAATGAAGAAAAAAATGTCTCAGTCCCTGCTCTCAAGAAGCTCACTCTCTGGAAGGGACACAGATAAGCAATGAGACAATTATTACATTCCTCTGTGCTAAGTACTTGGAGCACAAGGCACTGTGAACTTGGCAGGGCATGTTGGGAACCAGGAAAGAATGCTCGGGGAATGTGATGTTGCCACTGAGTCTTTAGTCAGAAGTAGGAATTAACCAGTTACAAATAGAGAAGGAAGAGCTTTCTAGGCAGAGGAAACATGTTCAAATGAATGAGCACAAGCTGCTCATTAGACAATGTTTGGGCAGAGTTGTCCTCAGAAAAGTAATGAGCCCTGAGGTCAGATAGCACACAGTGACTGGCCCATGTTGGGCCTTGTATGCTAGACAGAGGGACTTGGTTTTGGTGCAGTGCTGACAAGAGGGCATCAAGGACTGTATGCAGGGCAGTGACCAGGAGAGCACTGGCTTTTGGAATATCCCTCTGGCCCTGGAGTGGAGAACTCAATGGAGGAACATGGTCCTAGATATAGACCATGGATATAGATATAGACCATATAGAAAGGAGGACAATGGCTTTGGGGTCCACAGTGGGATAAAAACAAGTGGGAATCATATTTTCAATAGGCATGTTGGATAGCCTAGACTTTTTGAATGAGAATTTTCCTTATGTTGTTTGGGTTCCTACAAGGCATTTTTTGGGTAAGCTCTGTACATGTCCTCTTAACAATCTCCAAGAAAAGTCTCTTCAAAGCAGTCACCTCCTACACTTAGTGCACAGAATGAAAGGTTATCCCTTGTCCTCAAGGTGCAGCTCGGGGCATCACAAACACAGTGAGGGGTAGGCCAGGGGTTCTCAAATTTGGTACTGCTGATGTTTTGGGATGGGTAATTCTTTGTTGTGGGGGCTGTCTTGTGCATTGTGGGATGCTAAGCAGCATCTCTGGCTCTTACTAACTAGGTGCCAGTTGCATCCCTTGAACATTACACTCAAAGGACCACAAGTATCTCCAGACATTGTCAAACATCCCCTGAGAGTCCAAAAATTGCCACTGTTGGAAAGCCACTGAGGTCAAAAGCAAAATTCATCCTGTTCATTGGTGTTGGAGTTACTGTCTCATCAGGCCACTTGTCTTTATCTCTGTCTCCTTCTAGAGATAAGGGAGAAGTTGGTCAGGGTTTTGAACCTCGGTGCCAACCACTAGACTTGTTTTATGTAAATCATAGCAATTCTGAGAGGTAAGATTTCTTCTTTCTTATTTTCTCCTCTCTATATAAGATAAAGAAGCTGAAGGACAAATAATCCAAATATGAGCCTTCTTGTTCCTGTGAGCAGCTGCACCCAACCCCTGTGCTGTGAGCCTGTCATGTGTGAGCCTTCTTGTTCTGTGAGCAGCTGCTGCCAACCCGGTGCTGTGAGGCTACTTCCTGCCCACCAATTCTCTGTGCCCAGCTGCTGCCAGTCAGTCGTCCATGAGCCCAGCTGCTGTTCAGCTGTCTGCACTGTGCCTGGTTCCTGCCAACCCAGGGTCAACAGACAAGTAAATTGTGGTATATTCACACATTGGAATATTATTCTACACATTGGAATATTATTCTACAGTGAAAATGACTGGTCAATAGTTACATGAAACAACATAATGGATGAACCCCTAACATAGTGTTAATTGATATAAAGAGGCTCCAGAAAATCATATATCTTTATCAATATTTATAGATTATTTTATAGATTATATTTATAGTATCTACATTTCAAAAACCACACACATTCATATGTATGAGTATACATGCACACACACATACATATATATAATATATAATATAAAAGGAGTGATAAACAAAATTCAGGATTGTCACAGCTAGCAAGTTATATACAAATGACTTAAACACAGATCTTTCCAATGCCTATCTTTTTTTTAATGACTCACCATATTTCTTGATGTGGTTACAAAATGGCTTTGGTGACACACTAGGTATCTTTAGCATCTTGAACCACAGGAAAATGAATGTTCTCTCTGTTGAGAGTTTTCTTAAAGAGGAAACAAGAGCAGAAACACTTAGAGAAAAATGGCTGTAAAAATGGATTGCTTTAAAACTATAAAACTGCTACATGATATTGGCACCTTTTTTCACATGGACATTAATGTGGTTTCTCAATGTATTCATGTTCCCATTTTGACTGACTTATTCGGTAAGACAAAAAGCATTTCCTCTTGGGCGATGGAGATCTTTGGGGTGTAAGTATTCAGGGTCCCTACTCCTTGAAAGATGCCATCATGAATAGAGACAAGAAGGAGGGCAAAATAAGTGATCCGTGATGTGACATGGAAACCATTGGCAGGGAAGGAGGCATTTCAGTGACAAAGGTGAAGGTTTTTCAGACACTGCTCTGATCAGAAAAGTTTCTCTTCTTTGTAAAATGAGGGTGAGGAGGGTACCAAGGAGAAGGCACTTTGTAGGTGGCACTTTGCAAAGCATCTCCCAGGATTTCCAGTATTTTTAATAATTTTTGAGACAACCAAAAAAAAAAAAAAAGATAAAAACACCTCAAGAAACAGCAATGCAGTTGATAAAACCTCAGTACCTTGAAAGACTTGGGTAATTATTGAACGTGTCCAGCAGAGTGAGTGAGGGGTGGAACCGGAAATTAAGGCTAGCCCTGTCTGGTTCCACAGCCATGATCTTCCCACTCCATCACACGCCTCCAGCACAGACCAGGCCAGGATGTGAGCGGGTGATGCTGAGCCAGGACAAGCCCAGAAGAAAAAAAGAAGAGTCAGGAAAACCCCTCATGAACTCCTCTCGGAAGGCGTCGGTTTGATGCTAAAACCACTTTGCAGTGACATCTTTCATCACTTCTGGTTGCTGTGATTTTGTATTTTTAGGATTCATGTGCTGTTGACTCCACTGTATGAGTTTTATCCTTTCTGATGAAATATTTTGCAGTTTAAAAAATTTCCAAATGAAAACACTGTCTTTTGGAATGAAGATAAGTAGAGGGAAGTACTTATACCAGTTTGGTCTTGCTGATGATGATGGTCACTGGAGTGGGCAGAGGAACCCAGTATGGGGCCTGTGCAAGTTGCTCATGGGGTTGTGCTGGGTACACACAGCAACCTTTGTCAACCCTGTTAGAGCTCCCCCCACATCTCCCAAAGTCAGGAGGTCTAACAAGTGGTCAAGATTGGGGGCTTAGGGTCCGCCAAAGCTAGGCTTGAATCTTGTTTCTACCCCTTATCACTTGCATAATTTGGGGAACATGATTTAAACTATCTGAGTTGGTTTTGCCACTTCTGCTTTTTTTTTTTACTCTTAAGTCAGGGTCTCACTGTGCCACTCAGGCTGGAGTGCAGAGGCATGATCACGGCTCACTGCTGCCTCGACCTCTGGGGTTCAGGCGATCCTTCTGCCTCAGCCTCCTGAGTAGCTACTGGGACTACAGGTGTGTGCCACCATGCCCGGCTAAGTTTTTGGTTTTTTATAGAGATGAGATTTCACTATGTTGGCCAGGCTGGGACTTATGCTTTTCTCCTTTACTTTCTTTCCTTTCCTTTCATTTCCTCCCTCCCTCCCTCCCTCCTTTTTTTCCTCTTGCTTTCTTCTTGAGAGGAGCCAATTTGGACAGATTTTTAATTTTCCAAAAAAAGTCAATGAAGTTTTACATTTTTTTTTTCATTAATCAGTATTTTTTACTATGGTTTTGTGGGGTACAGTTAAGGGTTAGGTGTACAATGACGTTTCATTCAGGCACCCTGTAGATAAGAAGTGTTTTCTCATCCCCCGACAGATATTTGCTACTGTTAATCCCATCCCCCTCCCCCCCATAGTTTCCCAGTACCATCAGTCATTTTCTCATAGTATTGCATTGGATGTTCAAGGTCCATTATATGAGTGAGAACATGTGATATTCGGATTTTTGTTTTTGTGAGAGGTCACTCAGTATTATAGACTCTAGTTCCATCCAGGTTGCAGCGAAATTCATGATTTTGTTCTTTTTTATGGCTGCGTAGTATTCCATCGTGTATATGTACCACATTTTTTTAATCCAGTCCTCTTTTGATGGGCAGCATGGTTGTTTCCAGGTTCTTGCTATTGTGAACAATGCTGCGATAAACATACATGTGCAGGTATCTTTTTTATAGAGTGATTTGTGTTCTTCAGGGTATATTCCCAGTAGGGGGATTGCAGGGTCATATGGAAGGTCAATTTTTAGAGCTTTTAGGAATCACCACACTGCTTTCCACAGAGGTTGCACTAGTTTACACTCCCACCAACAGTGTAGAAGTGTTCCCTTTTCACCACACCCTCTCCAGCAGCTGTTATTTTTTGAGTTGTTGATAATTGCCATTCTGACTGGAGTTAGGTGGTATCTCAGTGTGGTTTTGATTTGCATCTTCCTGATGATTAGTGAGGTTGAGCATTTCTTCATGTGTTTGTTGGCTGCTCGAATGTCTTCTTTTGTGAAGTGTCTGTTCATGTCTTTTGCCCATTTTATAATGGGGTTGTTTGTTTTCTTCTTTTCAGTACGTTTCAGTTCCTTGTAGATCCAGGATGTTAAACCTTTGTCAGACCTAGAGTTGGCAAATACTTTTTCCCAGTCTGTAGGCTGTCTCCCTGCTCTCTTGATGGTTTCTTTGGCTTTGCAGAAGCTTGAAGTTTTACATTTTAATCTTAACTTTGTTTTAAATCTTATTTAGGTTTTATTTGATATTTAGTTTTTGCCACTTCTAATATAGCAATGACAGCTATACTTACTAACTGAGGTCATTGTGAAGAGTCAATGAAAACCACTGTCAAGGTCTTGGTCTATAGTAAGCATGCAGTAAATGAGAGCCATTTCTATTGTTATTATGTATAACAGTACTAGTAAAGTTGAGTTTCTGGAAAGCCAAGTGGGAATGTTCTAGAAAGGGGTGGAGGCACTTAAGTGTCCTTGGGTTCTACTGCCTAATTTTCTTTTCCCCAGTCTCTGACACTCCCTCCCCCAACTGGGTCAGGGCTTCATTTCCTCAGGGCTGCATTCCTAGAGGGAGAGCAGGGTAGTTTTGGCTTCTCAGAGGCCTCCTGATGAGAGGTTAGTGCCAGAAAAGGCTGGAGAACAACCTGTAAAGGAGACAGCTCATCCCACAGCAGGAGAAGTGTCAACAAATCCCAACTCAACAGACACATTTTCAAAGTTGGGACAACATCTCTCAGGCTCCTGGAGCCTGGTAATCAGAGGTTTGCATGCAAATGAGTAAAAACAATAACAAGAAAAGATGCTATATGTCATGCCAACACCCCTCATGAAGGGCTATAAAAGCCCCTATGTATTGGATGTCTTTCAGACTCAGGTATACTGAGTTTGCAACTTCCCAGCAAGGTCAGCACGAGCACCATGGCCAACAGCTGTTGCCCTGGAAATGCCACCGTCATTCCAACTGTGCCTACCATCTCCACCTGCCCGACTGGAGACAGCTTCCGATGTGCTATCTGTTTGCCCAGTTCCTGCCAGAGCAGAACGTGGCAACTGGTCACATGCCGAGGAAATTACCAGCCATCCAGCGGCACCCCTAGTGGCTGTGAGCCTGCTTCATGTCAGTCTGCCTGTCTTTCAGCAAATTCTTGTGTGGGTTTTGTTTGCCAGCCCATGTGTTCCCGCAAAGCCGGCACCGGTCAATCTCCTCATATTGTAGGCTTGTGCCAGCCATTCTGCTTGGAATCTGCTGGTCGTCAGGCAAAGGGCTGCGATGCCAGTCCTGGCCCACAAAGTTCCTGCCAGGAACCTGTCTGCATATCTGGATCATGTCAGGAGGCTCGTGGCCAATCAGTCTGCTGTGATGCTGGATCCTGCCAGCCATCCTGCTCTGAAGTGACTTCCTGCCCTGAAACCTCTTGCCCACCAATCATCTGTGCAGCTAGTCCATGCCAACCAGCTTGCTGCCAAGGAGGTTCATGTCAACCAGTCAGGGGTGAAGGCCAACCCTGGAAATCAACTTGTTATCAACCCATCTGCTACATTTTCAAGCCGTGTCAACTAGTTCCCTGCATACCCGTTCCCTGTCAGCCATCGACTTGTGTGTTCAGCTCTTGCAGTCCTGCTTGCTGCGTACCTTCCTCTTGCCATCTACTTCACACCCAACCAGCTCCTAACCTTGGCTTCATCGGCCTGCCTGCAGCTAACTACAGACCAGCTTCCTGTGCCACTGTACTTTCTGGTCAACCAGCTTGTGACGGACCCAATTCCTGTAACCAAAGTGGCTGCAAATCCTCTTCCTGCCCATCAGCTTGCTGTGTGACAGGTCTGAGCAAATCATCCAGTGGTGGCTCCAATGGCTTGCCAACTTGCTGCCAACCCAGCTAGGAGTCCAGCTTCTGTAAGGCACCATTTGGTTGATGGAGCACTCGTCACGCCTCCTCTGAGGGTCTGCAGCTGTTTACAAATGCACGGCCACCCCGTGGTTGCCTGCCTGCAACCAAGCACAAATCCAGCCTGCCTTCTCACTTCGCCCAGAGTCCAGCCCCACATCCCTTCCAGGTGTTGACCAGGGGACTTGTGTGGCCATCAAGAGATCCTTCTTAACCAAGGATAACCTCTTAGCAAGCATGGTCCACACTGTAGCTTGCATGTTGTCAATTCATTTCACTTCAAAACTCTCTCTTGTTTTTTTTTTCTTTTGATGTTGCCTGGTCTTGCAGAAGACACCATTGCTGCCAATTGCTAATAAAATATATGACTGGTTAAATGTAACGAATAAGACTTCTGGCTTTCATTCCTGTGTACACCCCATGCAGATTTCCTTCCAGTCACATCTGAAAACAGCGACTTTGGGCCTTCTAAGTCAGTAGGTGTGCACTAGTCTGCAAGGGTAACAGGTGTCTAGAATGATAGATGCTCAAGCCGGAAGGGAGTAAGGACAAACAGTTCACTGGCTTCTAGATTTTTCACCACCAAGAGCTCCTTTGATCTGAGTGGCCTCAGTTTCCCCATAGTGAATAGACTTGGGAAGCCAACAACAGAAATGGTTCAGGAAAGTCATAGGTTAAAATAAACATGACATACTGGCCCTGGAGGATAGCTTAGGGTTGATTCACTCCAGACAGATTTTAACAATCAAGTCACCTAATGGTCAATTTAAATAAAATAAAAATTTTTAGAATTTTTTTCTTGGCAGTTTGTTTAGTGGCTGTGTTTTTGACATTTTAAGAGACAGTTGTAAAAACAATTAGTTGAAGGGAACGTCTGACTGAGTTTGATATTGCTAGTGTTTAGATATTGATCCTAAACATATTTTTTTAATGGTTGGATTTCTTTTCTTCTTTTTCTGTTTATTTTGTTATTGAGATGTGAGGTACAAGTCAGGATTAGGTACATGAGTAGTCTACATGTGGGTGAAATTTGGGCCTCCAACTGTTCCTCACTTCCCCTGGTTTAGGAACAGGCACCTTTTGTGATATCACATGCCCTCTCTCCTCCCTCTCCTGGCATCAAGAGGATGGGGAGACAATCCACAGAATAGGAAAAAAATATTTGCCAATTATGTATCAGACAGGGACCTAACATCCAGGATCAACAGGGATTTATTTTCCTTTGGGGAAATCTTAGAAGAAGATTTATGGTGCGTTCCTGCTGCAATGGTACAGGGTTCTTCCTCAAGGGGAATCCAGCCACTCCTTCAACCAGGAGCTCTGTGGAATGATTTAGGTCGAAAACTGCATGAAAGGCTGCGGCTGTTTCTCATGGAAACTCAGGTCGGTTTCTGGCTACCAGACCCTGACTTTGTGTTAAGTAGATCAGGTGATACCTTAAGAGGCCACCCATATATTTTGCTACTAGGAGCCCTGTGATCGATAAACCACTCCCAAAGAGCCCTGCAGGGTAAGACATTTCAACAGTCAGTATGTTCCTGTTGTCATTTACAGATGTGCACATCTTGTCTTTTGGGGTGGGTAAGTGCTGCTATATAGCCTCCACCACTGTGGGATCCCTTTATCGTCCTTGAAACAAGGGAGTCCGTCTTAATGGTGGCATCCTCTATTATCGTATCTGGCCTACCATGGAGAGTTAACGATTACAAAGGTTTTCAAGGACAAAGGTGCTCCCTTTGTGGATATATTTCTCAACAAATGGAGTGTCTTCTGGGCTTTTTGTGGAGCATCGTTGGGAGGTGGGAGTGCAGGTTGCACATGATAAATCCAGTCCAACATTCTGTCTCTTTGGGCCTTTGGTCTCTCCCCTCTGCATCTTACTAGAGATGTTCTGGCATCTCAACCTCATTAAGTGTAGACCACTGTCAAGTCCAAGTTTCAATCAATTTAACAAGCTATTTTAGTCATCTCCAGCTGTATGATTAAATGTGACAAATCTAGAATATCAAGTAAGGGCAACCACCAATACATTTGGCTTAGTCTGGTGCTCTATTCTTCCTTCTTTGGTCTTGGTCTTCAAAACCTCATTTTCATATGCAGGGGTGCCAAAAAACATACACACATTTTAAACGATGTTATCTATGTATTACCATTCAAAGTTGAATTGAATGATGGTAGCAATGTGTAGTATGACGTCTGCTCAAAAGATGGCATTAATTAAATGCTAGCATCACCATGTGACAGGCAGGGCAGTCAAACAAAATAGTGAAAGCATGGTTGTCGTTCGAGGAGTACAAGACCATTTTGAAGTGGTATTTGAAATTTGAGAATGTTGTGGAAGTACAATGACAATGGAGGCGTGAGTATGCAGCAGAACCTCCAACACACCCAACAATTGCATGCACTTGTGATAAGTTTGAGACACATGGTACTTATTGTGTATGATGAACACTAGAGAAGATCTGGGAGGCCTCACACAGCAACAAGTCCTATGGTAGTTCACCACAATCAGAAGTGTCTGGATACTGATGGTTACCACTCTGAGCACCTCTTGTAACTGCAGAAGTCAAATGTGACTTGTATTCACCTTTTGTTATCAGTATATATTATTACCATTTTAATGCAGTTTTTTTCTTTTCTTAAAATGTGTATACATTTTTGACACCCTCTGTGTGTTCCGCAGGTTTCTACTGAAATGCATGAGTAAAGTCTTGCAATTCTTGTGTGTGTAAGCTATTTTCTCCCAGATTACAGCGTATTTCCATCCTCCTAAAGCTTGCGGGGGTCTGATCCCAGTTAGGAGTCTAGTGGCAACAGTGGTGGTTGTGGTGAATTTTGAGGAGGGCAAGCATCCTCTTTCAAGCCTGTCCAGGTGAAGTTATCACAGGGTTTTCAGTAAGAGAAAGTCTTAATCTTCCCAGACAGTGGAGGACCAGTTACTTACTTCCACTGTAAGGGAGGCTCTGAGTGACTCCCACACAATTAAATGCTATGTTTGACTTTCAGCAATCTCAGTCCTGATGTTACAAGAGATAGTAGTGTTGCTATGGAAACTCTAGACAGTGGCTTGACTTGAGAGTTAAATGGTCTGAGCCTAAAACTTGCTTTCTGTAAGAATTCAAAAGCCCCCAAAAGAACCCACCCCACCCCACAGTGCTTAAGGTCATCATTGTAGCTGTCATGGTCAAGCGGCCACTTGGCTCCTAGGGCACTTGATTTGGTTGTCACCTCATCACAATTAGTCACAGGTGATGGCTTGATGAGTTGTGATGCTGCCAAATGCCATGGATGACTTCCATCCCATTTCCCACTGGCAGGAATCCCAGCACTGTGCTCAAGTCCATGGGCATAACCAAGTCAACCACCCAATCCTATTTTTGCAGCTCTGTTTCCTGGCACCACTCCCAGTATCAACTCTTTATCAGTCTGTCCAACCAGGAGGGAGGTGATGCATATTAATTTGCACAGGGGACATTTCATATAAAGAATTATTAACTATTTCAGAGGATTGAGGTAAAGGGAGACTAGCTAGTAAGAGGAAAAGATAACTCTAAAAAAAATAAGATTAACAGAGTCAGGATCAGTCACTGCTCCTAGGTCTGAGATAGGAAGATAATTTCCCATCCCCACCCTCAGGCTGAAAATCCGAATTTTGTTGGCGAGGGCACAACTGTGGCTTGCTGGACAGTGGAGAGCAGCTTTGCTGAGATGTCACGCTAGTGTACTTACTGGCAATTTGCCCTCTGAGGTGCTGGAGGAAGTTGCCCTTGTGAAGATGCCACATGCTACTGGCTTCAGAGTTCCACTGGCCAATTTATGCTGCAGAATCCAGGCAGTGAACAAGTCATGTGGTGTGGGAGCCAGGCACTTCGGGAATTGGACACTGTGGAAGCCACTTATTGTGGAAGCTTTGTACCATGGGGGCCACAGGCACTGCAAAGGCTGCTTGTGCCTGGTGGAGGATACCGAACCAAGAAGAGAAACATCTTCTTACTCCAGTCCTTTCTATTGGCAAAGCTTAACATGACGCCAGCTGGTAAAGGACAGATATTCACAGGGTTCATCTCTATTGTCTTAGAGCAGGCAGTGCAGGGTGTGCCTGCAGGTGAGCAGCAATAGACTGATAATTGGAAAACATAGTCACTACTTCTTATTGTTTTGTCAGTGATGTGTCCTTTGTGGCTACAGGGAAAGCATTTTTTTTTTTTCTTTTTTTTTTTTTT